TCAGAGCTACTAATATCTTTTGGATATTTGATAAAATAAAAAAATTCAAAGAATATAATGAATATATGGCTTGACTCAATATTATTAGAGTAACAATAGAGTTCTGAATCCCGAGGCACAATTGTAATCTTCTTAATTAAGGTAAAAGGAAAATAAATTATATTGAAATGATCTATTCATTGAAAGTTTGAGTGAGGTAAGCATAAATGAAAATGATAACAAATTTTCACCTCCAAGAGTAACAATAAAGTAGCAAAATCAACATAGATTAAGCTATATCATAGGTTTTGAAGGCCATTATAATAATATAAAACTATGTATATTTCAATTAAACATTTGATTTTCTGATCCTATGACTTGAAATATACTCTACATGTCAATGACAATAAGGCACTTTTTGTAGTGATGTTTATTCTGTGAAAAAAATGACAAATTTAAAGTAGAAAACCATGATAATCTTTTTATGCATAGAATGTTTACTGTAAATTAGCCTTGGTTACTTTTTAAAGAGTCTCTTTTTAAATTTTACTACTTTGCCTTTACTTATGACTGAATTATTAATTCAAGTTAGCAAAACATGCTATTTTGGTTTGGGTTTGACAGAAATCTTCAAAATCAGGCAATGATTCTTTTACCATAGTGATTTGGACTGCTTTTAGATTTTGATCAAGAAAATAATAAACCCTACAACACTAATAGCTTACTGACACAACCAGCATGCTTTCTGCCCAAAAAGGCAGCATAACATTTTAAGAAGTGGATGTGACTCTTAAAAATTCATTACTCTTCAGCACCCCATGGGAAATAAAGAACAGAAAAAGTAAAATTGATTGTGACTTTTGACAATTATTAGTTAGATAAAGAAGGTAACAATTGCCAAAAAAATCACAAAAGTGAGCATGTTACCTGGCTATGACAAAGAGCACACAACTGACACCCAAGTAAGCCAGCAGAATATACATCCAGATATCAGGGGAGAGAGGATTCAGGAAGGAGAAGACGCCTGGGTTTGTACCATTGGGCTTGCGGTACAAAATACTTATTCCAAGTGTCATAAAGGGCTTGGAAAAGTCGATGACCTTCTCTCGAACATAGGTAATAGCCAGTGGAGCAACTGCAAGGTCAGCTTTCTGCAGAGAAAAACATAAAAAAAGAAAAAGAGAAAAGGAAAATTGGTTTTAAGTCACAAGGAAAAAAAACAGTAACCAAATTAAATAAAACAAAGGCTTTACACTTGAGAATTGCAGTAATGGTTATGTTAAAATTTAAAGCATTCTTTACTCTGAAATGAAGCATCTGATTTAGTCTGCTAATCATTTCTTTGTGCATTTAGAGCAGCACATGAGCACTTACTACAAGAAGGTTTAGAAAGAAAAAACTGTATACAATAAAAAAACTGAAGAAACTATTGTACATTCAGTACATGAAATATGCTACTGAGCCTTCTCATAATTGCTTTTATGTTAAACTTTAAAAATCTATCTAGTATCAGTTATCATTTTCTAAATACATCAGTCAAATTCTAATAGTTATAATAACTATATCAAATTATTTAGCTAAGAATTAAGAAACATTTTATGACGTTAAAACTATAGAGTACGATTAAAAGATTTTAGTCTTTAAATAGTTAAAATATTGTTCAAATCATCTTTTAATGTGATTCTGTTTGCTGGCTCTGAGTTTTGTTTCTATCCCTCTAATTTGTTTTATATTATTTAATGAAAATCCTTGCAGCATTGCCTAAATCACATTAGAAAATGAGTTTTTCAATTTTCACAAAGTTGCTAATTTTCCACGGTAGCTTAAATATGTTAAATTACTAATGCTTTTCACTCATCATGATATAACCATCTGTCAGGGATGAACTTAACCTCTAATATATTGTAAGAAATTATTATATATTTTAAAATGACAAAGGCATCTATGATGAGAAGGTATATTGCTACATTCCTTTTATTATTCAAAAACAAATACTTTCAGAGAATAAGGGGAAAAAACCGTTGTAGAAAGCTACAGAAAGACACATACAAGAATGAAATTCTGTTTTCTTGTCTCAGGCAATGTTTAAGGACTTAGAGATGAAACTTGTTTAAGACAATAAATTTGTTGAGAATAGTATTCCAAGTATGTGCATTTGTGTGTTGGTATGTGGGAAAGAACTCGGATGATTAGAGAGAATATCATTGAAAGTAGCTATAGAGAAAGAAAGACATTTCTCTGAAAACTGGGGAGGAAAAAAATTCTTTAAGGTTCTGGGGGAGGGTATCATCATATTTCATATTCATAAAGCAAGGAAAAATCAATTTAATAATTGCTAATATCCTTTAGGTATTAATATTTGCTGTGTAACAGGTACTGTGTTAAGAACTTTACATGAATTATCACATTCCTCATAACTTTTACACAATTCTACTATTATTCCCTTTTTTAGATAAGGAAACTGAAACCTTAAGAAGTTAGAACATGTCCATTGTCATAAAAGCTAATTGAACATTGGAATCAAAGCTGTTGTCATGGGTAAGATCTAGGAACAGACTCCAACCCAAGCTGTTAGAGTCTATGGTTAGAGCTTAACCATGCTATGCATCTCAGAAACCAGCAATTGAATCATAGAGGAGTCATTCATTCATTTATTCATTCATCAGAGAGTTTGTAAAGATGGAAAGGGAAATACATAGAAGCAAGGGCAGCAATTGATAAATTACAGTCTCTGAGAATTCAGAGAATCAGGTGCAGAGTTTAGGTAGAGGAAATATTAGTATTTTCCACAGGAAGGAGATAGCACTTCCTCTAAGAAGGGAAAGACAAAAACGGTTTTTTTTTTGTAAAAAAAAAAAAAAAAAAAAAAAACTACTTTGTTAGAGAAAGAAAGTGGTAACTAAAGAAATATAGACTCCGAGTAAAAAATGGACAACATGAAGTAGTGGTTTGTCCCTGTTTGGGGGGAACAGGGGATGGGGGTTTAAATAGACAGCACAGTTTATCTATCTGTAACATGCCTCTTCTTAGGCACATGAAAAACAAAATTTTCATCACATATAAAGCATATAAGTGAATATACTTTAAATTAGTAAAAATGTATTTTTATTTTTTAATTGACAGATAAAACTGTATGTATTTATCATGTACAATATGATGTTTCGAAGTATATATACATTATGAAATGACTGAAACTAGTGAATTAACATAGGCATGACCTCACATAGTTATTTTTGTGGTGAGAATAATACATCCACTCTCTTCATATGTGGAATCTAAAAAAGTTAATTTCATAGAAGTAGAGAGGAGAATGTGGTTACCAGGGGCTGGGGTGTTTGGAGCAAGGGGGTGGGGAGGTTGGGGAGTTGTTGGTGGAAGGATATAAAATTTCAATTAGCTAAGAGGAATAAGTT